AGGGCTATTTGACCAAGAAGGAGAGTGATGGAGTGCTGCGGCAGATGACCTGGCCTCCACAGTCACCGGACCTGAACCCAATCGAGATGGTTTGGGGTGAGCTGGACCGCAGAGTGAAGGCAAAGGGGCCAACAAGTGCTAAACACCTCTGGGAACTCCTTCAAGACTGTTGGAAAACCATTTCAGGTGACTACCTCTTGAAGCTCATGGAGAGAATGCCAAGAGTGTGCAAAGCAGTAATCAGAGCAAAGGGTGGCTATTTTGAAGAAACTAGAATATAAAACATGTTTTCAGTTATTTCACCTTTTTTTGTTAAGTACATAACTCCACATGTGTTCATTCATAGTTTTGATGCCTTCAGTGAGAATCTACAATGTAAATAGTCATGAAAATGAAGAAAACGCATTGAATGAGAAGGTGTGTCCAAACTTTTGGCCTGTACTGTATGCACATATTTTTTCCAACTAATTGCACTAGTCTCCCATGTTGCGGGATTAATGTCATTATGCCCACTCTTAGGCGGGATTTATACTTGTGCGTAAGATCCATGCAGAGCCTATACCGTTGTGAGCATTTATACTTGTGCAGTGGTGTGTCTGTGTCACACTGCAGTGACGCCTCCAAAACACTAGTTGGCAGCAGGATTCCAGTGAAGTGCTGTAAAGTTTAGTTGATTCAAAACACACATTAAACACACATTAAACATGGCTTCATAGAGACAATTTCAAACACAAGTACACAAATCAGCTTCACTATAACTCGCAGCATTCACAGACAAACACTTGTCTTTATCTGGACACATTTTCCCCACAAATACAACATGCTAATGCTATTAGCACAAGCCTATGGCATTTTACATTGTATAAATTAGCCTAGTGGCTAGAGGACTTTTCCTCTACTCATATGAAGCCAGGCACAACAGCAACATTTAACAAAGGTAACGTTACAAATTTCAGCTCCATTACAGCTCAAAAGATTCACAGACAAAACAACTGTCTTATGCTAAACACGTTTTCCAAACAAATATAACATGCTAACATTATTAGCACAAGCCTACGGCATTTTACACTGTTTAAATTAGCCTAGCAATGACTGGGGATGTCCTCTGCTGATATGATGCTTGTTAAGGTGTTTTGGCAACCTCAGACACAACCTGCCGCTGCCCTCTTGACAGCTGGCTCAAAAAAAAGGTACAAAAGTAGCGCCAAGTAGCGGGAACATGTGCGCCGCTCTGGTGTTTGAGCGCACCTGCAACGCATCTACATTAAAAAACAATAAATTTGAGGGTGCAAAAAACACGGCATGTGTATGGCCCCTTACACATTTAAAAAAAAATAACAGTTTATTATCATTCTAGAGAATAGCAAACAAAACAATATGCATGGCTAGATACCACTGAAGGTAAAGACAGACAGAAAAAAGAAAGCTGGAAGAAGGCTATAAGGGGAAGTGATGCAAATAAAAGTGAAAGAATGAAAAAGAAAGAGGCCATATATAGTTACAGAAAGAGAGCAAGACAGACAGATAAATCACACCAGGAACAGCCTCCTCCTCCATCCCACTCCCCTCCCCTTTCATCATTATAACTGTTGCTTGTAAAAATAACTGAGTGCATTTGGCCATTTGGCAATGACAAAAATGTCTGCACAGTCAGAGGCCTCAGAGGCCCGTCACTCTGCACATTTATAGTACAACTTATGTGGAGTGACTCGCTGTGTAAGGACATTAGAATCATGTGACTGAGTCTGCTGCATTTAGCAAACCTTGTGTGATGATCATTACTGAGATTGATATTGAGCGCTCAATCAATGCCAGGGAGGCCATTAGCTCGTGCCTGGGTATGAGGAAATTGTTTAACTGTTTTGATGCCTGCTGAGTGTGTGTGTTGTTAAATGTGGTGTTTAACATGGGAAATTATGGCGCTTTGGTTATGAAGTGTCATTTTGAGCGGCGTGAGAGCGATGATGTTGCTATGCAAGGTTTTTCTCACGCTTGGGCTGCGTTTCATTGGATTGATCTAGATTTCTTTAGGGTTATCTTTTCAGATCACATGTCACTTGTAATTTAATATTCAGACTTTTGTTGCATCAGAGGCTTCCTTTCATGTTGTATCAATTTTTCGAATCCTTGTCGGTGTCTACTGGTTTGAGAGTGGAAAGACAAGATGTTTCTGTGCATCTCAAGACATGTCTGCATCTTTACGTTTATGTGTGTGTGAGTCTGTCCTTGAATTATACTCATTAGTGTCCGAGAATAAGAGGCTAACGCAGAGGACATGAGTGTGTGTGTGTGTGTGTGGGCAAGTGCTCGCTCTGTGTAAATAGTCATCCGCCCATACATTAGTCCATTTATCCCTTCCAAGGAGGCTCGTGCCTGTTTAACATATTGCTGTTTTCAAATTACTGGCAAAAGGACAAATCAATGTGTTAAAGAACATCAGTCATATTTAGATTGGTATCAGTGTTGCTCAGACAAAAATATACTGATGCAAAAAATCCATTACCTGACGCTAGCATTAATTTTACGGTAATGTGTGTTTCACATTTGACACTGTAAGGTCATAACGGATAAAACTGCAATTATTTGGCCCCAGATGACTCAAATTTGTCTAAAAGGATTTAAGGCTAGCCACATTCTGTAATAGCATTCTTTATTGTACCAGATTTCATTACCGCAAACCAAATCTAGTTTGACTGGTGGCCTGTCCGGCGTGTTTTCCTGCTTAATGTCCAGAGCTGGGAGAGGCTCCAGCAGGAAGGGATGGACAATTATCCCTTTGAAGTTATAGCCCTCCATGTGATGAGATCAGGCTGATGTGAGAGAGGTGTAATCATACCACATAGTGCCAGCAGTAAGGGAGGGAAAAGAAAAATAAGTAATCAGAGAAACATTATAACCTTGTAGATAAGGCTAGTCTGATCCACTTCAACAAGTGCTGAAAAGGTGCCCAAGAACCTCACTTATGGGGATGATCAGTTAGCAATAGTGTATCATGGATGTCAATATGTACCAAGCTGCAACCTCCAGGGCTGAAAAATGAACGTGAAAGTGCCAAAAACTGCAGTTCCTTGAATGTCCACTTGAGACTGGCTCCCTGCAGTGAGTTTACAGCCACCAAGGCGACAACTCTAAGGGTGCTTTCACACCTGTCCTGTTTAGTTCCGTCTATTCAAACTCAAGTTTGTTTGGGCAGGTGTGAACACAGCAGTCGCACTCAGGTGTGCACCAAAACAACCAGACTGAGACCTTCTTGAAGAGGTGGTTTTGGCCCGGCTACAAAGGAACTCTGGTGCAGTTCGTTTGTGGTGAGAACGTGTTCTGATCTGGATCTGAACCAACTGCAGTCACATTACACATTGTTTGGCTTAAACATGAGCATGTTACAGTTCTGGAGGATTATTAATGTGCACCTCCTCCTGTACTGCCTTAATATGCACATTCAGCACATCCAGTGCATCAAAACATTGTTTTCTAGTTGGAGCCGCGCCTCGTTTTCAAACTGTATGGTTTGACTAAAATGAACAATGACAGCAATATAGTCCACGATGAGCAGCGCTAAAATCAACCTGCGTAGTTGTCCCTCCATTGTGACATTAGAAAGTGTTACATTTATCTTGCAAGTGTACTCTTCTTCAACGTTTGGTTTACTTCCTGGATTCTGACCAATCAAGAGCAGCTTTCTTGCGCAAGGCATTTGATCTGGTCTGCTTGTAAATGCTGCCTTTAGAACATGATCCAACTCTAGGCATTTATTCAACTTTGTAACAAAATGAGTCCCTGATTCAGACCAAAGCAAGACAACTCTAGGTCTGGAATCAGCCTTAGTAAGATACTGTAAGTGGCGTAACCCCAGATTCAAAAGTATGGGAGTAGCTATCGCTAAAAAGAGTTTGGTTGAACTAAAAGACCCTTTAAGGAGTCAGATGTTCAGTTTTTCCAATAAGCACATTTTATTTTAATGGTTTTAAGCCTGTTTTTAGCTGGCAAAAATTAGCATTAGCATTATCACAGTTAACCATAGACTATAATGCACCATGCTAACCAAGCTAATAGCTAGCATAGGGGATAGCTCCATCCTCTTGTCCAAATATGGTCACTTATTACTCTAACAATCAAAGATAGCAACAACCAAAATGCCAAAATGGAGGCTCCAAAAAGGAAGTCAACAAACCAAAGGTTGACGTCACGGTGGCTACTTCATTATTTTTATACAGTCCTTTGCAGCTACTACTTTAAGCTGAAAGTCAAGTGCACATATGGTGCATATTACCTGTAGTCAACACTTCTTATTAAAAAGGGAAGGAAGGAGCAGCAGTGATCAAAGTATTGCAAGGAAAGACACCAAGATGGTCATAATATACTAAGACACAGAGGTGTTTTGATATCACTGCTGATGTCAGCATGCTGACATGTTAAAATGTAGTAGGTATAATATTCTTAGGTAGGTATGCTGTTTATATGAGTCCAGTGACCAAGACATTTACGTTAACACAGTGAAAGAAGCAGTGACAGAAGAAAATCATGAATCTAACCGTGTGATAAAAGCACCAAAATAACCGAGAACAGCCTCATGCAAGTACAAAGCACCCATAAAAAGACCTATCATTGGCGGGGGTACTGACGTTCTGTTCAACTGTCCCCAGAGGTCAGCGGGGTGAGCAGTGAGCGGGAGGGAAAGGAGCAGCTGGTGACCAGGGTAAAGAGGGGGCTTGGGTGTGCTGGCCATTGGGTTGTTGGCAACTGGGCTATAAATAGACTAGAATGGCCTAGCGTCGGTGTGGAAGCGTCTACACTACAGACAGCGCTTGGAGGCTGAGCTCTGCATCAGGGGAACGTACTGTAGATACTGGACATAGTGATGACAGGGATAAAGAGAGACAAGAAGCAGGGCGGGAGGTGGTGGTCACCATGTTTTACTATTTATAAAAGAAGCATGTGTGGATAATATAAGAGAGATTATACATTTTTATACAGTACAGGTGTAAAGTGTTTCAACTTACAGCCTTCGTATATATCTGTAGGGATGTGGACGGCGGTGGTATTGTACGAGACGAGGCGCTTGAAGTCGGGGTCTATCTCGAAATCATCTGGAAGATATCTGTTCTTCCGACTCTTTCCTTCATCTGTCATATTAAGCTGCAAGAAAGGGAAAAAACAGCAGATCCTGGAATTTCAAAACCATCCTGCAAAGCATTTTATGGCTCAAAGGGTAATGGTTTCCTGGACCCTATTTTCCCATGATTTTGGTGCCCATGTGACTAATGGGATCAGTTATTCTTTAACTGGTCCAGAATTGAGCGAGAGCACTGGAGCTGGCAGTAGCAAAACAGGCTGCAGGGTTAATTTACATCCTCTGAAAGTACTTGTTTTTGCCACTGACAGGCTCAGGTTATTATTTTAAGTGCCAGACCCTTTATGGAAAGGATCCCCACAGAGACAAATGTTTTTGTTACAGAGTCAGGGGCAGGTTGCATGATAGTGCACCCAAAAATGAAAATTCAGCCATTATCTACTCACCCATATGCCGAGGGAGGCTCAGATGAAGTTTTAGAGTCCTCACATCCCTTGCGGAGATCCAAGGGGGGAGGGGGTAGCAACACAACACCACCTAATGGAGGCTTATGGCGCCCCAGATTCAAACGTCCAAAAACACATAATTGAAACCACAAAATATCTCCATACTGCTCGTCTGTAGTGATCCAAGTGTCCTGAAGCTCTGACATAAAAAGTTGTTTGGAAAAACAGAGTTCAAATGACTTTTTTCAAAACAACTTTTTATGTTGCTGTTGGAAAAAAGTCATTTGAACTCTGTTTTTCCAAACAACTTTTTATGTCAGAGCTTCAGGACACTTGGATCACTACGGACGAGCAGTATGGAGATATTTTGTGGTTTCAATTATGTGTTTTTGGACGTTTGAATCTGGGGCGCCATAAGCCTCCATTAGGTGGAGTTGTGTTGCTGCCCCCTCTCCCCTGGGATCTCCGCAAGTGTTGTGAGGACTCTAAAACTTCACCTGAGCTTCCCTCGGCATATGGGTGAGTAGATAATGGCTAATTTTCATTTTTGGGTGGACTATCCCTTTAAGTTAAGATTTTCCTTAAAGTCCTAGTGAAGATTTCCTAATAATAATGTCGGTTGCACAAAACACACTTAAGTCTTCTTAAGATTTCCTGAAAATGTTCACCTAAGTTTTTATGGTTTCCTATTGTCTTTGTCTTACACTTAATGAATCCCTAGACCTTTGCACAAAAGACCTTAGCATCCAAAGCAGGGTAAAAAAGGAGTTTAGGGGGATGAATGTACAAAACGAACACACCCCAAGAAGAGGGTTCTGCGAGAAGGAGAACCTCATGGTTACATTTTGAGTTTACAGTTTAGATTTGACTGAATTCATTTTGGTTGCTTCTTGCTACAGTCATTGTCTGTTTCCTGGTATTTGCGGATCACATTTACTTTGTAGTTTGTGCTTTCTATGATTGTGTTCCTCCAGAAGTATAAACTTTTCCTTCTCTGTCCAATATATTTTTCTTGTCTTCTTTTCTTCTGCCATTTTTTTCACTATCTAACTATAGGCCAACTTTGAGAGACGATAATAAGCATCACACGTGTGAATCCAAGCAAACAAGCAGTCTCCATGGAAACTTTTACAGCTTTAAAATCTCTTTTAAAGCAAGAAATGAGTTAACACTAAGGAACTAAGGAAACATTTTCAGGGATTCTGTGCAACTGTGTAAGTCCCTCAGCTAAGGGAAAAATTAGGTCTTAAGTGTACATAGTTAAGGAGAAAACTTAAGGTGTTTTGTGCAACCGGCCCATGATCCTTTTTCTTTAACCCACCACACTCATTTAAATAAACAGTAGTTTAATCACTGTAAAACCCGACACATTAAAAGTCAATAGCATCAAAATAAAACCCTCAACCCCTATCTCTGTAGGGATCCTTTTCATATTGTTGTCAGACGGCAAAAACAAACACTTTAAGTGGACGTAACTCTCTCGGTACTTAAACCTTTTCAAATACTGTTGTTCCCATTAGTCACTTAGACACAAAAACATGAGAAAATAGGGTCCAGGTTGAAAAACACCAAACTGACCCTTTACGAGGAGTATGCATGTGTGTGCACACTCGATTTTTAAACATACTGTATATGCAGTTCCTTGTTACTGTGAATGACAAGGTGTCAGTGTTGACTGCTCACTGATATGTCACTACTGACAGATAGAGACTGAGAAACTGAAAAGTTTTAGGCAGTGAAACATGAACCCCAGCATCCAGGGAAAAAGAGGACGAGGGGAGAGGGGCTGTCAGTCAAATACAGAGTGACATCAGTGTGCTGTGGGTGCGGGGCTTTTTCCCACTGGGACCGTGGAAGGGAATTAGATGCTGATCCCTGTTTATGAGAGCAGACAGATGACGTCTGAGGCCAGGGGAGGCATCCGATGTCTCACGCATACTCATGTGTTTCTGAGTATGGGGCCCAAAATATGTTCTGGTCCTCATGCATTAAAAAAATGCATACACACACATGCATACCTCAGCAAAGCACGAATAGAACATCAATTATTCCTACACACATATACTGTCACTTCTTTTAACAGATTCTTACAGGCTATCAGTAAAATCTGCTATCAAAATAGTTGCCATGGTAATAATCTCTAGAGGGCTGGATATGGGTCGCTTGTGGTGTTTAATTTGAGAATTTGCATCTCTAACAGACAGAATAGTAAGATTAAGTTGTACTTACGTCATCTTTGGCATTGTAGTAAACAATTTTGTCGGGCTACAAAGAGAAAGAGAAAAAGATGAGCAACGAATGGCAAACAGAGGAAATATACTTCTTTGAAAAGTAACTTTAAGATTACCCATCATGCTTTTCCTAATATTCTGTCATACATATAATGCTACAATGTCTGATGTTCCTATTTAAAGGAAATGGCCACTTTAGAATGAAAATACAGACAGTACTTACTGACCCTCATGCTGACGAGAAGTCCATTGTAGTTTTTTAATCCACAAAAAAATCCACGTTTGGGGTATCGGAGGATAACAGCTAGCCAGATTTTTCCATACACTTGAAGTGCCCAGAACCCACATTTTGAAAATGTAATAAAACTCCGCTAATGCATTTCAAAAACGTCAGAACGGCTCGTCCGTCGTAATCCAAGTGCCCTGAAGCTGCGGCATGCAAAATTGACTTGAAAAGACGTAATTTACTCCACTTTTATAGCATCATTTCTCACAGTGGTCAGTTAGCCTGCGGACGTGCTGTGCTTACATGGCAACTTGTGCAAGACTAGCTGATGGCTAGTGGTGGTGCTAGTTCTCGAGGCTAGCTGTTATCCTCCGATACCCCAAACGAGTGTTGTGGATTAAAAAACTACACTGGACTTCTTGTCGGCATGAGGGCGAGTAAGTACTGTCTGTATTTTTTAAAAGCGGCCAAAGTTCCAAAAATGGAGGTAAACGTATGTAAAAGTATTCCCTGTGTGCAAAACCTCAGGCCTGAGACCATTCTGAATTCGACTTTCGAGGCATCAGCTCATGACAGATTTTTTTTTATGTGGTCATCATTAACAATTAATAACATGCTCATGTTTAACCAAACAATGTGTTATGTGACTGCAGTTGGTTCGGATCAAGGTCGGAACACGTTCTCACCACAAACGAACCGCACCAGAGTTCGTTTGTAACCGGACTGAGACCACCTCTTCAAGAAGGTCTCGGTCTGGTTGTTTTGGTGCTCACCTGAGTGTGATTGCTGTGTTCACACCTGCCTGAATGAACTGCACTTAGGGCGCAAACAAATTTGAGTTCAATTAAACCGAACCAAACAGGGCAGGTGTGAAAGCACCCTAGGAGGTGACCAATCAGAGCAGTGAATACAGGTGTTCCAGCACAGGAAGTAGTAGAGGGTGGCAAAGTAAGAAAAATAAGTTCAAATCCACCACTCTGTGTGCCTTAACATTTAGTCCAATCCAAAAAGACAAAGTAAATAAAACTACACTTGTTTTGTTTCTAAAGTTACATCTGCAACTGTGGATATATATTTTTTTCTTGCAGGGCAGCAGAGTGTGTTTGACACTAAGGATCAGTGAAGTAAGTGGTGTTGTTTTGCTCTCACACCGCTGGGCTGTACGCACACAGGCTAGCAGGGTGTTAACGAGTTAGCCTAGCTGCTGACATAAGGATGCCCTGGAGCCACAGAGCTGCTTCACTGACTCCCACCACCTGCCTCCCACTTCTGGAGCTGCAAAGGGGATCTGTGACTCCTCCTGCCACTGCCGCTGTTACCTTAACTCAAACAGGTTGCAATTACCCACACCCGGTCCCGTGAACACATCACTCCCGTTCTCCACTCCCTCCATTGGCTCCCCATCAAACAACGCATCAACTTTAAAATCCTCCTCCTCACTTTCAAAGCTCTTCACCACCTGGCCCCCCCCCCTACCTGTCTGACCTCCTCATCCCCCACCGCCCCTCCCGAGCCCTCCGATCTTCCTACACTCTCACCCTGACTGCACCAACATCCAGACTGAAAACCTTCGGCGACAGAGCCTTCTCCATAATAGCACCCCTATTATGGAACTCCCTCCCCCAACCTGTTCGCCACTCTCCTTCATTTCCCATATTCAAATCCCGCCTGAAAACCTATCTCTTCTCCCAAGCCTTCTACCTCCCCTACCCCTAACCACCTCCACCCCACTGACTGTTCTTATACCGCTTGTGTTACATCCCATCATTTCTTTTGTTCTCTATGTTGTCTTCTGCTTGTTCCCCCGTCTGTCACTACCCCTTTTGTGTTACTATGTAAGCGTCTTTGGGTCTTTGAAAAGCGCTATACAAATTTAATGTATTATTATTATTATTATTATTAATTAGCACACAATTAAGCTGTGTCAACTGTGCCGCTAGCATCTGCTCTCAGTTTTGCTGTTTTGACGGTTAGCGAGGAGACGTGTCAGTTCTCTATGGGCAAGGAGGAAGTGCAGTGCACACATGTTGATACGCACATGCAAGCAAAAATATACACACAAAAGAGTGGACAACAGGAGACAGTCCCATGATGTTCTGTGTCAGGTCGTGTTATTGCAGATATGTGCACCTTTAGAGGTGACGATAACACTAAAGTCACACCACCACACCCCTGAGGGGAGGCCACTGTGGGCAGGAACACTTAATGTGTGAGATGGAGGCAAGAGGAAGAGGAGGGTGGACAAATACTGATTTATGCTGTACATGGCAGGTTGTGGTGGGTGTGATGTATACTGCCAAATCAATGCGTTTATGTGTATGTGTGTGTGTGTGTGTGTGTGTGTGTGTGTGTGTTTGTGTGGGATCTGCATCTTGTCTGGAGGATGCTTGTTAACATATTGCGATCCAGTCTCTGCCAGGTGTAACTGCAGCTCAGGTTCACATTTGTAAAAACCTAATGACTCATTCAATATGCCATCCACTCGCTAAAAACTCACAACATGATCCGCTCCCACCAGTTACAGTGCTTTTCCCTCGCATTCACAGCAGCAGCAAACACTGCTCCGTCACTGGAGTCGTAAAAAATGACCTTTTCGTTCTCAAATGAAAAGTTAATGCAGGTTTTAAAGTATCAGATTTAATGATCTGCATCTCCAAATCCACTCACACATAAAAATAAGCTCAAACCAGAACGCAGAGAACTAATAAAGAATTAAGTGTAATCAAATTGATCTGTTTAGAGAAGCTGGATACAGCTTGTGTTTTAATAACATGTGTAAATAGGGCCAAAGTCATTATGTTACACTGAGCAGACGCACAGCAGTCACAGCTTTTAAGTGTTTAAAGTCAGCAGGGAGACGTGCCCAGTGGTATTGACCCAGTTATCAAAGGTGACAGAGAACAGACGCATGCACATAAACACACATACATGCTCACATGATCCAGTGTGATATAAGCCTATCCAATATATGTGCAGTACATGTTTGAGTAGGCCGACTTTGTACATCAAACTGTGGTCTTGGTATTTCAAGTAATGTATTAGCTTGATGCATTTTAAGTGTTAAGGAAATTTAAATGAAACTTGATTTACATCTGTTCAAAATTTGCAAATCAGCGACCATAAAAAATGTTGGTATTGAACCATGTTATAGTATGTCGCAGATACACTGAAACTTTACATTTTAACAGCGCTGTGGTTAATGTGTGGTAAGGTTTAGGCACAAAAACCACCTGGGTATGGCTAGGGATTTGATCTCGTCCCATATCGACATTTGGTCATGGACTTTTCACGTCCAGATACGACATGCAAGGTACCCTGGGTGTGTTGGTTGTTGACGTTCTGGGACAACATGTCAAGTTCTGCCTGTTACATGCATTGTCTTCTTTCAACATACACCTCCGTTTTCATGTTTACATGCAGTCTCTTTCAAAATAAACACAGCGTGTCCGTAAAACAGTACAAATCTTTTTTGCCTTTAACAACTAACACACGTGGTTAGATTTAGGCAACAAATACACTTGGTTACGTTTAGGCAACAAAAACACGTGGTTAGATTTAGGCAACTAACGCATGTGGTTAGATTTAGGCAACAAAAACACGTGGTTAGATTTAGGCAATAAAAACATGTGGTTAGATTTAGGCAACAAAAACACTTGGTTACGTTTAGGCATCAAAAACACGTGGTTAGATTTAGGCAACTAACGCACGTGGTTAAATTTAGGCAACAAAAACGTGTTTGGGTTTAGGCAACAAAAACACGTGGTTACATTAAGGCAACAAAAACATGTGTTTGGGTTTAGGCAACAAAAACACGTGGTTACGTTAAGGCAACAAAAACGTGTGGTTACATTTAGGCAACAAAAACACGTGGTTAGATTTAGGCAACAAAAACATGTGGTTACGTTAAGGCAACAAAAACATGTGTTTGGGTTTAGGCAACAAAAACACTTGGTTACGTTAAGGCAACAAAAACACGTGGTTACATTTAGGCAACAAAAACACGTGGTTAGATTTAGGCAACAAAAACACTTGGTTACATTTAGGCAACAAAAACACGTGGTTGGGTTTAGGCAACAAAAACATGTGGATAGATTTAGGCAACAAATACACATGGTTAGATTTGGGCAACAAAAACATGTGGTTAGATTTAGGCAACAAAAACACGTGGTTAGATTTAGGCAACAAAAACACTTTGTTACGTTTAGGCAACAAAAACACATGGTTGGGTTTAGGCAACAAATACATGTGGTTAGATTTGGGCAACAAAAACGTGGTTAGATTTAGGCAACAAAAACACGTGGTTAGGTTTAGGAAAAAATAACAGGGTTTGGCTTTACAATCTTATGGCACATGGACACCGCTCTCCCAGGTGAAAGTTGGTGTTTGTTGGACCTATCCACCACCTGTCCAACCCGCCCTTTTCTGACTTTCGTCACCTTAACTTTCATTCGTGTCCCGCTGCGTTTCCCCCGCTGCGCTATTAAACTATAACGACTGGCCATGTATCATGCCGACGTTAGAGGATGACTTTTTCATCAGTGTCTCACACTGCAAGTCATTGCCCATGCGCTGAATTTCAATGATTTCGGAGTGAGACCGGGTTGGACAAGACAGCCACAGTCAGAGCCTTAAAAAGCTGTTTGAAAAACACTGATGAGTCGCTACAAAACAGCAATGATCCAAGCCTGAAAACCCGAGGGAAATGCAGCAAAGACTCACAAAAACACTCCTGGTTTTGTTTGTTGGTCTCCACCAGCAGTCTGCAGCTCAGAAACATAGATACTTTTTACATGAAATGGGAAAATGTAATGTATTCATGGTTTGCAGAAACTTACAATGCCAGCATTTTCTTTTGGCAACTGGACTAAAATGTGTCAGAGCCAAGGTGGCTTCAGTATTGTTTATAATGGTTTTGTAGAGGCCTGTGTTGCATATTGAATATGTGGCTTCAGACTACAGAAAATATAAAATCCCACATCCTATGTTTAAAGAATTTACTGAAATATTTTGGCCAGCATAAACTCAGGAAGCCTCTGTTCTTTGTAAAAACATACAAACGTGCACAGTGTTTATTTGCCTTTAAGTCGACACTAAAGTGACACAAAATGCACATTTGTTCTCTGTTCAAAGAAGGTACATGCAGGTTCATGTGGTGCTACACTTAGTGTATGCCTGGGCCACACTGTCTTTGTGAGCAGCGTTTGATGGTTACTTCACTGTACTGCGTCGCCTTGCACACGTGGTGTTCACACAGTCTAGATGGAGTTTGCCTCATACGGAGACAAGAAGTGTTGAGTAAAAAAATAAACATTTATACTCTGTTTCATGTCTATGATGTTCTACTGATAGACAAATTAAAACTTCAGTGAAAGGTATGATGATGCTGGTACAGTATGATGTCAGTATGACTGTCTGCTGATCATTTATCACTGTCTATTTTTGCTCCAAAGCCCACGTGTCATGTGGAAAAAATAGGCAAGATTCCGACTCTGAGCCACAGCTGAGCCACAGCCAGGCTATGCCTGAGCAGCACTGCTCATGCAGGCAGTGTGGCTGCTCTAACCTGTTAACATGGGCGCCGAAATAAGAAGCAATAAGTTCCATGATGCACACAAGCTGCTCATGCAGGTCATGTATCTCAGAATAAGAGGCTAGCCTAAGCAAACACAGCACTGTCAGAAGTTACACAAACAAGCCCATTACATTCTCTTTCTGACATAACGGTGCTTGAGCTGTGCAGTGATGAGATGATTGCGACAGACCCTGCAGAGCTCTTATCACTATCAAAATAACACAATTCTCTGAAGCCACTAAAGGCCTCAGTACATACTCAGTTATTACATTAACATGTTCATACTGATGACATAATCATGGACACAGGAAGGTCAGAGCTGAGGGTGCTGCATATAAGGTGTTGTCAGAAAATTTATGAAAAAAAGATGTTTAAATGTGCGAACATAATGAATTTCCTGAATTTCATGTGACAAGGTCATCATATCAGGTGAGGTCAAAGTGCAGGGGTCAGAGTCAGCTGAACTTGGGGAGAGATTGGCTGAAGTGGGAACTGATTAATAGCTCAGACAGGCTGAACACGCTGAGAAAGACCGTTTGGAGCTTTTTAGATACATGACATCAGCCTACTTGGACACGAGGGACTTCCACTACGGGGACACAGCCATCAGAATGGAGTTTTAAGTCCCTAGTGATGGAGTGAAAGATGGATAGTGGACGCATGATTTACCCAGGGGACTTGAGTGGCTTCAGTAAAGAGAATGGATGTCAAACACCATTCAAAATGAAACATTAGAAATTTTGGTACATGGAGTCCAAAAGAGAGTAAGACATTGTGTGTGAGGAAAGGCAGTGCACATTCATGTGGCCTATGCGTCACTCTGCAGTTACACTTCTGAAACACTAGTCGGCGATGAGATGTCTGTGAAGTGCTGTAAAGTTTAGCTGGTTCAAAACACACATTAAACACACATTAAACATGGCTTAATAGCGTCAATGTCAAACACAAATACACAAATCAGCTTCACTATAACTCACAGCATTCACAGACAAACACTTGTCTTTATCTGGACACATTTTCCCCCCAAATACAACATGCTAATGTTTTTAGCACATGCCTATGGCATTTTACATTGTATAAATTAGCCTACAGGCTAGCAGACTTTTCCTCTACTCATATGAAGCCAGGGACAACAGCAACATTTAATAAAGGTAACTTTACTCCATTACAGCTCACAAGGTTATCTGACACAACAACTGTCTTATACTAAACACGTTTTCCAAACAAATATCACATGCTAATGTTATTAGCACAAGCCTAGCGACAAGCTGAGATTGAGCTGAGGATAAATCACACACAAGACTTAAAGAGGTATTTTGTGGAGGCTTTATTGTCTTCACAATTTATTGTTTCTTATCTGTGAAATTAAAGTAAAAAAAAAAAGCTTCGTTTCCACGAAGGGAAATGGTTTCAGCTTACAGAAATAGACAGGAGGTCTGCAATGCCAGGCTCCATGTCGACATAGAGCCTAGGTACGGCGTCGATTTGACACATAAGTATATATACCGCATAACAGGATAAGCAGTTATGGAAAATGAATGAATGAATGAATGAACAGTGATGGTGTAAACCAGTAAAGCTGGTAAGAACATGACTTAGGGCCTGTCCCATTTCTACCCCTTAAATCTTCCACTTGGTATTGAGTGCCCTCGTTTGCGAGATAACCCTTGATGAGGGAAGTGAGAAATATTAGAGTAGAAATTTTTCCCTAAGAAATGAGACACCACTTCATGCAAATCGGCGTGGGTGGCGTGCAGGCATACGTCACACATAGTAGTGCACAATAAAAATGCCGGCTCCAGCGCTTGTGTTGTGGCGTGTGCTGTGTTTATTCTTCTCTGTTGTGGCGTGTGCTATGTTTATTCTTTTTTTTTTTTTTTTTTAATGGTTTATGTAACTTTATTGAAGGGAAAACTAAAAAGAAACAGAGCCACAAGTTGATTATCAACCATCAGCTTTGCATCAATATTTTAGGGCTACAAGAAGACAGTGTTCGAGTGGGCGTCAAACTAAGAGCTCATCTACTGGCTTCTAAATAATGAATAAAGGAAAAATAGCCTTTGAGGGGAACCACGTTTTTCCAACTGTTCAGCCATACGATCCACTTAATTAGCAGAAACATATCAGATATAAGAGCCTACCTTTATTAACATGCATAAAATACAACATTGAAGTTCTTATATTTTGTTTCCTTAACATTGATATATACTGCTGTGCTTCTCTGTACACACACTTTGATAGTGGAATAAGATACACTTCTTTCCTCAGGTAATAGATTACTATGCTAAAGATCAGAAGAACAAACTGACATCACACCAGTCCAGGAGCCACCAACCAGTTTCCCAAATCTGTCATATGATTGGCATTTTCCCATTAAATGCAGAATTTTACCAACTTTTAAAGTTCAGAATTTACAGGTATGGCCGCAGACAGGCTTCTCTATAAGTGCTCTGAAATCCAGCTGACGGTGACGTAAAGATCGACCGCACAGGATCCAGCCAACCAACCGGACCGCCACGGGGTCGATACAGTCGCATCAGATTCTACTGTGTGTGTGCAGAGTAAATGACTAACATCACCAAATCTTACTGGTGCATGCTCGAGTGTTCAGAATCATGGTGATTGCTTTTTTTTTCTTCTTTTTTTTTTAAACTCCGAACAAACTGGGAGTCGATACTTCACAGAAACTGGCACGTGTCCTAAAGAGAAAACACTATCTTCTTATGAGCGCGCAGGTGGAAAAATAAAAATAATAATAATAAAGAGGGGTAAAATGCTCTGATTGACAAAAAGGAAAAAGTGAAAAAGAAAAAAATAGAATCCCGGATTTCTTTTGTTTGAACCAGCAACAACATTTTCCACCAGCTCTCCACATGATGACATCACATCGTGTATTTGTGTGTCCAGTCTTTTGCCATTCTGGTGTATCTCGGACTATCTGTTTTGTAGATTCGTGCGATCTCTGGCACTAGTGGGTCATCAGGGTTTGGGTCACATAGGAGTGAGCAAATGGAGAGAAGAACTTTAGAAATACTAAGTGCAGGAAACCACTGTGATCTGAGAATATCCAGGCAGATACTGCCGTTACTGTTAATATTTGGGTGGTAAATTCTTGTTGTAAATGCAACCTTGGGTGGTTTGAAGGGGTAGTCTGTTGGAAAATGAATTGTCAAGAAGAAAACACCTCCCTGATATGGACTGTCACTAGGTCCCATGATTGTGGCTTGCCAGTGAAACATGTCATCGCCCACTGGGCCGGCTGAGCACTGTGCTGGAGGGTCACGAGCCAGGTCGTTAAGCTCCTTGTGAATCCTTTTCAGGGCCATCCTGTCTTGATGTTTCACTTAAAGGGTTTCCAATCCAAACGGTGGGAGGCAACCGTGCTATGCCAGAAAGATCCCGCTATCCGTTAAATAACTGAGTCAACTGGACACGGCCTTTCTTTTCGAGCTAGCGCAGTTAGCTAGCGAGCTAAAACTACGTAAGCGTGGAGTCGGTAACAAAGATAACCGGCGGTGTTTCTCCTGCCGAGCGACAGACGGTCCGTGTCCTCCGTTAACCCTCACTTCCCCCGGAGTTTAGAGGTCTTATATTGGATTATTAGTATCCCCGGTTGGGGCTGAATTCGTGCCAGGTGAGGTGAACCTGGTCGACAAAGCTGCTGTGGTGCTGTCGGTCGCTGCCGTTAGCCTGTCTCTGCTGTCCTGCTATGTTTATTCTTCTCTGTCTGATGAATCAAGAAATGCTGAAAACAGGAGGCACCTACGACGTCTTCTAGTTCTGATCGATTTTGTTTGGGTAAGCCGATTTGTTTGAATATTTTGACGCTGTGTTCAACCGAGTTGCCGATGAGTTTACGCCAGTCCAACCATCTATTGTTTGTATAGCCTACATTCCGATTCTTTTCCAAAACTTGCCTAAGTTGCTGACTTCGCAAGGTGTCCTGGGAAATTTCATCTATGACTTCACTGAAAGTGTGGGTCGAGGCTCCCTTGGAATCTCCTCACCTCAATTCTGTTTTGGGACACCACTAGCCTAAACGTGAACGTGCACAACCAAGTGCAAGTGGGTATTTCGAGGGGAAGTGTGGGTATTGGGACCAGCCCTTAGTATTCAGTCTATCTACGTACCTGCACATAGTCCCCACCTGTGCCTATCTACATTGTTGGGGAGATATGTAATTGATTCCAGTATGGCAGAAATCCCCATAACATTAACCAGAAAATTAAGTGCATCTGAGGCCAAAGGAACATCAAACTCAGTGAGTTATATGACGTAAAAATAAATCTATCCTTAAAGAGGAACTTTCCTTTCCTGTTTCCTCATCGCAACACAGCATGCAAGAAGGTGAATAATGGGAACTTTTAATGGAAAAGAATCATTAAGTATTGGCAAGCCACACTGAGGAGTTTTTTTAAGTTAATAAGCTGAATGGCAAAGTTGAATTTCTTTGAAGTTTTCTCTGCCACAGCATGTACACTCGATATCATTTGTCATTTGTTAAACGGCTGCCAAGAGCGTGAGGCTTTTCTTATTGCAAAGCAGGGGCAGGAAATTTGCAATTTGCATTTATTATGAAACGGCTAAAACACAGCATCACTGGCAACGAACGGCAGAGAGAGAGAGAGAGAGAGAGAGAGAGAGCTGCATTGTAATTCACGTGGAGACTATGGGGCGTTCACTGGACCTGCAATCTGGTAAAGTAATTGAATGAGTAAAATAATAGTGTGTTCATATTATTTTCTGTACGTTCCCTTAATGTTTTCTTAATACTATGATTAATAGACTACATCAGAGTGAGCAGTGTGTGTGTATGTGTGTGTGTGTTCATAATAAGCATGCCTGGTTGTTACTGCCCATTATGTAAAATAATGGAATTCAATCTTGTATAAAGTCATTACAGCACTACTGTCACTATAATGAGATTTGCCATCCAATTATTACAATCATATTGGATCATGAATAACATGTCCCCCCACCACCCCGTGCTCCTCTTATGGAGTTCACGGCACCACTTGATCTGGATTGTAATTCAGCCAGTGGTAATGAACATATCAGATCGGGCTCCAGCCGCTCGCTCACCTCGCTGTCGTCCCTCCACTCGTGGTCCATCTGAAACTTTTCTGCCTCTGTTGCCAGCCTCTGAGAGAAGAGAGAGAGGAAAGAATACAGCATGTTAATACATGTTTAATGTTCTCGTAAAAAACAAGACATTTTGGCTCTGAGGCTACATTAGTGTCAACGTCATGATAATGGCTTTGGCCCCAGCTCACACTTTGTCCAAGGATGACAGTTTTTGCATTAGCTGATTTAGAGATTTGAAAAGCCATGTGCAAGGCAGCTGGAGAAATCTCCACACCGGGTCAGCTTAAAAACAAATGCAGTAGAAAGTATGGATAATTAAATATCAGAGCTACATGTATCTAATACCTACCATACACTGGAAGACATTAAAATGCTTTAGAAAGACTAAAATCTGACAACCTCTAACACACACATACTATAAGATTTTGCAAAGATTCACATGTTACAGGCCAGAGGTCTGTATACTGTCCTCCTTGAGGTGTAGCAACCACAATTTGACAGCAAGCCAAACTCCAATTCACAGAGACATCAGAGTCAGGATGTAGCATTCAAGCTCCTTTAATTATTGCAGACTCTACTTTGTGAACACGGAGTGAAACTGAAATAACAAAAAATATATTGTAATTACTGAAAGGTCTATACAAAGGGAAGGCATCTGCACAGGCATGGTTAGCTTAGTATAATTAGCATTAGCAGAATTAGCATGAAAATTGCGAGCATTAGCTTGGCTAACATGAACAGTGTTGACATTAGCATCTTTAGCGGCAGTAGCTCAGTCCATAGGAACTTGGTTTGGGAACCGGAGGGTCGCCTGTTCAAGTCCCCGTCCAGACCAAAAAAATATGAAGCGTGGACTGGTGGCTGGAGAGGTGCCAGTTCACCTCCTGGGCACTGCCGAGGTGCCCTTGAGCAAGGCACCAAACCCCCCAACCACTTGGAACGCCTGTCATGGGCCACTTAGTGCATGTATAGGTCCTGTTTGTGCATGTGTGTGTTCGGACCTGTGTGTAATTGACAACAGAGTGAAAAAATTTAATTTCCCCTTGGGGATTAATAAAGTATATAAAATTAAAAAAATAAGAATAATAATTAGCATTAGCATTTTTTACCATTAGCACTGTTAGCATTAGCATCTTTAGCATTATTGCTGTTAGCATGGTGAAATCATGGTTAAGACAATTTAGAGAATAAACCAAAAAGGAAACCAAGAGACACCACAGGAGGATTATTGTCACAATATATATTAAGTGGCTCACAGCATGAGAGCTAAATGCTTAACAGTTATAAATCTACATTGCTGAATTAAATTCATGGTAACTAACAAATTTGAAATCCACTTCCTCCAACCATGAACTCAGAAAGGTCTCACAAATACTGGTTGCTGAGATGGTAACAAAGGGATTAGAGCTTACAGTCAATGCTTGCTGAGGCGAAACAAAAGATCACAGCAGACAACCCTCTGATGGCTGGAATGGCCTAGGTAGGCCTGAGGCCTACCTAGGCTTTATAACTTCCTGTGGGTAGAACTTCCTGTCGATGGGACTTCCTGTTGGGAAGTCTGTGCAATTCAATAAACTGCCAAAGAGGGCGCCAAAAAGAAGGAAATGCCTGAATGGCAGAACAGTCTGTGTATGATAAAGATTACTGACGCTCAACTGTGATGCTAGCCATATTGTGTTACTTATCTTGCGTGTTAGCAAGCAAAAGTAGTTAGACATGAGCAAACGAAAGCAGTGTGAATCTCTTGTCTGTTAAATGCCTGTATGTTTCTCTGGGCTATATTCAGTGTGTTATATTGTATTCTATTATTTTGCTGGCTGTTGGTGTCAGGTCTGTTGGCTTGTCTTTAGTTTTATGGTGGTGTTGGTAACGTTAATGTTAATCTCTTGCTTGCTCACTGAGTAAACTGTGTATGTCTATGTGTGGGAACCTACGTGTTAAAGGTACAAGTGGGTGGGCGGCTCGTGTGCATACTATGAAATATGATCCTGCTGGCACCACTGTTTGCAAAGTCACTATTTGCAGAACTACAACTATATTTGTTTTTAGAATCTTTCCCATCCTGCTCCCGTTGGAAGATATTACACCACACTCCCTTTAAGAAATATGACATATTGATAATTCCTCACATGTCCGCAAAAACACATAACTCTAGATACACAAGATAAAAAGGTGTCATAAGTCGACAGTATCCTTGTCAGTTCTGGCGTACAAATTTGCGTACAAACTAAACACTTTGGATTTCTTGCCTCAACTAACTACGAGCCTCCGTTGGTTAGCTGCACCATTTTAGTGGGAGGAGACTGTGGGAATGGAATGCTCAGCATAAGTTCAATCAGGAAGACTTTCTTTATGCTGTATCCATTCACTATTCTCTCTCTATCCCACTTCCACCAATCAGGTGACTATGCATGTTCCAATCAAACCTTGCCACAATCTCCTTCAGCCATTCATGTTGCTGCTGCCAAACTTTAAATCTGTTCTCCTCTCTGCTCCTGTCAGCTGTCATTTTAGGTGGAAGCGTCATGCCCTCTTCCACCCCATTCACCTCCAGTCACCATATCCAGAGCCCAGGACGAGCTCATCAAAAGCCCACTCCTCTTCACATCCAAATCCTCAGCTCCCTCTTCATCTCATCACCACCACCAACAGCATCTACAGTAGACTCCATAGGTGGGGTTCCCTAATCTACTACATCTTCACCACCCTCCTGGAATAGATGACATCATGATGGGGTCTAATTGCCAAAGACTTTCCACATTTGTCATACTTATGTGCCCATGTAAATAAATATTCTTCTCTCTCCCAACGAGTCTCTTCTCTTACCATTGTATTTAAAATACGTATAAAGAAATGCTACCTATGTGTGACTAGTATTAGTCACACATAACAGAATAAAACTCACAGAACTTTGCAGACAGCATATTTTCCATTCACAGACTGTATAGAAGAACTATAGAGCAGGACTTTTTCAGCAGTGGCAGGAGGGTCTGGCACACACGTCTGCAAGGTCGTTAATTAGGTCATTATATGACAGCTTCTGACCGAGTTCTGCATTGATGCTGATGACAGCAAAACCACTTAGATGTTCCAGTCCCATTGTTGGACGCAGGTATCTCTTAATGAGCTTAAGTCTCAGTAACTGTAAAAACACCTTGAAGTGTGACGCTGCAGCTGCACTGTTTGCTGAACCAGTGGCAAGCACAGCTCAAACCGTGTTGTGTTTGAGAGGACCTTAATAGGAAGGGTCATTGCAATACATATGATTCTGATTGATGATGATCATAGTGGGCTGTTTTGGTGCCCCCTCCAGCACTGGTGCCGTACGCACAGCATGTCATGGGCATATTTGTACTGATGAGTGTCAGATTAAAACCATATATTGAGCTTAGCATCAGTTCAGGCGGGACACGATGTCAAGCTCAGCTCACATCCCAGCTACATCAGCTGGTGAATTGGTGAATCTCATTCAGGGCGCCCTATTTAAACTGCTCTGGCCTGCCTACTGATGCTGCTTCCTCTGCAAGCTGCTTTGCAACCTGCCTCCACCCCAGCTCCTCCTTTTCATGTTGTTTCTGACTTATAAATTTCATATCCGGGGGATCTTTCCTGCTGCCCCCCCTGCCTTAGGCTTTCCATGTAGGCGCATGGAAGGACAGGGAGGTTTGCTCTCTCTGCCATAGGCTTTGTTTGTTTGCATGTGGAAGGGCAGCTCTCTGCCATAGGCTTTGTTTGTTTGCATGTGGAAGGGCAGGGAGGTTTGCTCTCTGCCTCAGGCTTTGTTTGTTTGTACATGGAAGGGCAGCTCTCTGCCTTAAGCTTTCCGCATAGGCACTTGGAAGAGGCTTTCTGCGTAGGCCTCAGGAAAATATACTACTGCCAAATATAATACTGCAAATGGAAATAATGTTTTCTTTGACTAAAGTGGTCCAGACTGAATTAACACCAACTCTTGCTCACTCCACAACTCCACTAGTTTCTCCTTGTTTTTCAGAATCAAAGAGAAACAAGACTTGTTCACGTTCTTGCACCTCCTTGGAGTCCCTTCCATGTTTACTGTCTGCCTGGTTTGCTGCTTCCTGTTTGGTGTAAAGAAAGTGCAGCCATTGGTAGTTAACCATGTTTATGTTATTGAACTTTAGCATTTGCATGAGCCGAGACTAAAAACTTTAATTAATATTAAACATGTTTGATTTTGTTGGAGCATCAAGACGAAAGAAAGGCTGACTTAAGACAGCTTGGACTGAGTTTTATGACCACCTACACCAAACAGTCAAGATCAGGGGAACACGCAGCAGCTGAGGTAAAACTGTCATGAGTTTATTCCGACATTGGAAATTTGTCTTCAACGGTGAAATCGCTTGAAAAGTCATTTAATGTAAGGCCAGCATAACTCGACAGCAGCTCAAAAAAAGTGTTGCTGAGGCAGGAACTGTGAGTTCAAGGGAAAATACCTCATTTCCTGTCAGCACCTGCAGGCATAAATTAAGAGTAACTGTGACACAATGCTGCGCTAAAATTAGACAGCCACCTATTCCATCTTTCTTCAGATCTGGTCCTAATGACTGGGTTAATGGGTTTATAATGGGCCCAGCTTTTAATCTGTACCTGGTCTAGAAATGCACTGTACTATTAATTTCCCCAGGGAAATATCAAACCCTGCTCTTCCTGCTTATGCGTACGGCACTGAGGGTTTCAAGTCACACAGAAGGAGCAGAGACTTGATGGGGGCAAAGCAGTAAATTAATTTATGAAATGAGAGGAGGAGGGGGCTGAAACAATGAATTATTGAATTAATTCTGCGGCAAAATTAAACAAGACAGTCGGAGAATCTGGGAGTGATGTGGAGTGATATTAGTTGCAGTGTTTGGGCACAAAATCAGACCTTAAAGATGACACCAACTGTGCATTTGTCTTTGTTTGCAATTTTGGAATCACTCATCCAAAAGCACTACAAATCTTAAACCACTTGGCTGATATCATTGAAGCACCAAAACAAGACAAAGTATGCATAATTCATGCGATCAGTTCATCAGAGAGACAACAGCCTGATGGTT